ATCTACACATCATTCATGTAAATATTCTTCATACTTTGCATCAGTTCTCAAGTCTTATGATATTGCGTGCCGAATGAAAATTTTGCGGAATTGTTGTGCACGTCTCCAAAAGAAACTGTAATAAGCCTCAAGGGCATCATTGAATTGTGTCAAGATGAATAATAACATGTAATAGACAAGAAAGGAAAAATAAAACATCAAAAATTAACTATGTGAAAGAGGAAAAGAGATGAAATTACGAAGTTTAAAAAAGTAAACTCCTTAACAATATTCTGCTAAAGATTAAAGGTGTGCCATTTTTTTTTTTCTATTTCCTAATTTTAGTTATTTTGTTGCATTGTACACTGATGATAATAGTAGAGTTAGGGATATGGTAGGGAAAGTGAAATATAAAATATAAAAATTTACCTTAAAAAACTTTTGATATCCTTTTAGGAGGTTTTAGAAATTATGCAAATGAAACATGAAAAACTATAAGACGAAAAAAGTATTTTTATACTTAAAATGAGAAATCACTTTGCACTCGATTTGTTAATAGTTTGAATGCGAGTACCTAAAATTGATAAATAATATATTTTTAGTAAAAACACTTAATTATAAAACCGTCATTATATGTGTATGATGTAGTGCCCCTCCACCTCTTACAAATGGGACTAAAATGTGTCCTGAAGGTTCCCAGGCACATTGGAGGTCTAAGATAAGGTTTGTGGACTTGTTGAAACTATATCTGATTTAGGATCTTTTGTTCATGGCCCTCTTTGGGATATCATGGGTGTCTTGTTTGAAACTGTACACATACTCAAGTACTATGGGTAGGTGTCCTAACAGGGTTTTTTTTTGGGGGGGGGGGTATATAACCCACCCTTAGGATAGCTATAGAAATGTTGACCTTTAGAAACACATTGATATAGGTGGTGTTTTTCATCTATGTTTTCAGTCAAGTTCAGTTTTTTATTTAAATAACTGAAGAGTCTTGTACATGTTTTGACTAACAATAACTTAACTGGTACACACAATGAAAAAGGTTTTGTGTTATACGAATACTTTGCTATCACAGAATTCCTAGATTACAACACTCACTAATCCTGAATGTCTTTACTTGATGTTGACTCATAGAAAAATATTCCTGTAGCTTTCAAACAGACATTATATAACACAAAAAGTTTATCATGAATGAAAAGAATTTATATAAATATTCCTTGGGTTTCTGGCTTGTTTTGTAAATTTTGTACTACCCCATGGGAACATCTACTAGTCATTTTCTCACATACATAAAATTACAGCTTACCATACTTCATTTACTTTACACTGCTGTAGACAAACAAGGATATTTTCTATCTAAAGTTTATTAGTTACTGTCAGTTCATTTTGATGTAGCATCATAAAAGACTGGACACACAGGTTGGAGAAGTAAAATTACTGGCAGAAAAGTGACAAAATGAAACAAAATATTAATAGGTATTTCCAAGTGATGACAGTTTCTTAGTAAAAGTACAGCTTTGAAAGTAGCTAGAGACAGTATTTAAATACAACTGGGTAGAGCAGTTTGTGAACTGCTTATAGTATATAAAGTGGTTTGAGCAGTAACTTGTGGTTTCTCTAGAAAGTAACTAGCCATTTCTTCTTGAGGGTGAATAAAGAAATCAAATTGAAAGTTTAGAAGACTTAGAATCAAACCGTAGATTTAGAAATTTTTGTATAGTTTCTTTAGACATTTTCTTTAGGATACAGGTTGTTCCTGTGGTGAAGCTCTTGATTTCAGAACTGCCAATCCAAGTTTGAATCTGTTCAATGCTACAAAATATCCTTTGCTCTTAAAGATATCGCCTAAGTTCACTTAGGTTTAGGGGATGGCAAAATATTCCACTACCTCAAATTCTTATTTATTGAATATTATTGTCTATCACATTCAAACAAAAATAAAATTGTATTTAATAAATATTTGATTTTGACCAAGAATAATGTTATTTCTAAACTATGTTTCAAAATAAAAACTTTGATATTTCACAGTCTAAAAAAAATAATCAAATTATATACATTTTTTAAGCCAAGACTATACTATTTAGTCAATTTGTACTAAGTTTCATGCAATTTAAGTATTCACGCTTTGAGAATGAAAAACATCAAGATATATCTGTGGTACCCCTCTGGTCTGGAAAAAGTTGATTATGAAAGCATTTTAATGAAATTTAACTTTTTTACAGGCCCAGAAACAACGAGTTAATGCTCATAAAGAAGTGCTAACAATGACGAGAAGGGTGAGTAAGGATGTTTACATTCCTACTGGATTGAAGGCACAATATGAAACTTATTTACAGGGTTCGTACGGGTCATGGAATTTTATACATAGAACCTGGAGAGAAATAGCATGAGATGACACCACGTATAATAATGAACCTAGTATGATACTGGGCTTCTCCAACCAATGTTGCTGCACTACACATTATCTAGTGTGAAGTGGAAACCAGCTTATGTAAAATCATGCAATAGACAGGGCAAAAATCCTGGGTAGGTGACTTGGGCACTGTTGAGGTACCCCTAATAGCCAGTAGCCTCCAAATGGCCTTAAATAACATAAATGTAATTAGTTTGAATAAGAATGTTGCTATGAAATCAAAATTTTGTAGTATATTTTGTTTAAGTATCACATATGATTTCAGCAAAAAAAGTAAATCTTGCAAATTTACTTACAGAAAAGAAAAATAGTTTCTGTCTTGGAAGGAGAAGGGGTTAATGTATAACTACTTTTGTTACAGTATCTTTCGAGTACCATTTTTAGCCCTGGCAATAGCCCATATATGGTACATCATTACATACTATTGAACTAACCATTCTTTATGTTTTGAATTTCAGATATATTGAAGAATGCTAGATCTTGTTTCAGAACAACACGTATTATTAACATGGTGATAATTCTGGTATTTTAAGGGTGAAGATTTATGATGAAAGTATAGTAGGCTTAATTCACATAAATTACATTAGAACTCCTTCCAGCTTGAGTGATTTAGAATATCCAATGGTGGTTGTTAAGTAGCTTGAAGATTTAATACGAAATGTGGTTTAGTTTATATTGTTAACGAACAACATTTAAAAATATTTTATAGTAATTGTGCATAATTATTGTTTGAAATATACATGGGAATTATTTAATCTGCATAGTGCTGCAGACTGAAATGTTTGGTCATGAAAAGTCATCAAATTTTATCTGCCCTCTGGAGTACGAACCCTGTATAATAAGCTAGTTAACTTGTAAATATGTAATTAAGTATTTTATTCACCTTCTTCAAATTGTTTATTGAAGTGGAGTTGTATGTTTTTATAAACAGATCTTTATTGATTTAAAACATGCTGCTTCAATTTATAAAAATATTGTTGTTTCAAAGATTATTTTTCTCTAATTACTTTCCTTCCTCTTAAATTGATTTGCTGATGATTTGGTATCACATTAGTTTAAGTTTATTCATGGATTTTTTAAACACCAGATTAGCCAGCTTTTTAGTAGCAGTGTACGACTTGGGCTCAGGAAAGTAAAAACTTCCACTTTTAGAATTAGATCATTAGTTTTATGTAATGTAATGTGTGACTTGTTTAAGTTGATAGCAATAGTAATGCTTTAATATTATCAATCGTATATCTACAGCTAGAATAATGGCTTAAAACTACCTTTCAAGAACATGTTAGAAGAGTGAGAAAAATATGAAAAATTTGTTTAGAATGTATGTAAAACTGAATTTTACCCTAACAAGTTAATTCTACTCGCAATTATTTAAGTAGTTTTTATTTAAAGCTGTAACCCATCAGTCAGTTGACTTAAGAGGTCTCATCTGCAGCAGGTAGAACAGAAACAAATTTACTAATAATGTACTGACCTAATCTAGGTTTAGAAATATTTTCTGTTTTATTGTGAGGAATTTAATTTCAGTTTATATGTTGTTTCAGTTGGCTCATGTCTGCCAACGTGAGTGTCGAAAAGCTGCCCTCTTGTCACAAAAAGTTATGAAAGACACGCCTAGTCGAGCTCGCCGACTGACGAGAGAAATGCTCCTTTACTGGAAACGTTATGACAAAATAGAGAAAGAACACAGAAAGAGAGCAGAGAAAGAAGCTCAGGAACAGATGAGGATGGATATTGAATTAAGAGAGGTAAGAAAACATATTTGATGCATGATGTCAGATACAATGAAGCTCGACTATCCAGTAAGTTATCTATTTATTCTTAATTACTCGGTGTTTTCCATTTAAATTTTATTATTAGAAGATGGACAAGCAGTCAGGAAGATTTTCTGATTAATATTTCTAGGTTGTTATATAGGAGAAGTTCATGAAAACAATGAGGAAATGTGCTGAGATTATAATGTTTTAGTGACAAATAGGAATAAATATGTTAAGGAAATTGAAATGATACTAAAAATTACAGGAGAAATAGATGTATGTTAAAGGTACTGTAAAATAAATCTGTATTATTGTGTATATCAGGGCTTTAAATGTTTCTAGTTTACCTTGTTTCTCTTGAAAAAATTAAAACAATGCTAAATTATTAAAAATCAATTATTTTTTTCTTAGTAGGAATTTACTAAGAAACAAAAAAACTTAAGATTTTTTTTTAAGTATTGCAAAATAAATGTAATACTTCAAAACTAGTAATTTGGCAAAATATTGTTTTTTACCCAGAATAAGTACTACATCCTATAAAAGTAAGATTTATGTGTGGAGAAAATCTAGTATAATATATCCTCAGGATGTTGGAAGGATTCTGTATGGTTTTCAGTCAGGTGGAAATTGTTTAAAATTCCATAATCATACATTTTGTTTTGATACAGGACTTGATACGTTGCCCACATTTATTTGCAGAGACCTTAAAAACATACATAATAAATGTAACTCAGATAGAAACTTGGTATTTTGATATGAGTAGTTATGAAGTAAAGAGTATCCTGTGTAGATAAGGTTTTAAAAAACATGCATACTTGCACCTTAAAAAATCATGAGTGTTTTATGTAAACAAGTAGTGAAAACAAATGATCAAATGCAGTTGAAATTAGTCAGCCAAAGCTAATACAGGAATGGTAACAGTGAGTGAAGGTTTATTTTTTGTAAAGGTGACTTTTTTCACAGTATCAAACAGTTGCCAAATATGCTTGCTAAAATAAAATATTAATTTTATTTTCACAAGAATTGTCTGTGGGTACTGTTGACTAGTTGATTTCCCTTAGTCTCTGTTAAAACTGGGGACATCTGTGCACAGATAACTCATATATAGCTTTGGGCTAATATTTGCAATAAACCTTAAAATGTATTAAGTTTTCAGTATACAAAAAAAATGTATATGTGAAATAAACTGAACTTTTTTCTGCCCATTTGTTACCTAATAGAATTAGAAAACTTGTACATAATTCTGGTAAATCATATTTAATTGTCATTTTATTGGTGTGCAATTGTGACACAAGATGTAACATGTAGCAAAATCTGTCCTAAAATGTAACCTCTCTATTCAGGCAAAACGACAACAGAGGAAGTTAAATTTTCTGATTACTCAGACGGAATTGTATGCTCATTTCATGAGTAAAAAAGTATCTGGGGTACAAAAGGATGAGAAACAGAAAGAAATACTTTCTCAGTTGGATGAAGATACCACGGGTTCAGTAACAAGAAACCCTATGTTGAATATTGAGGAGGATGACTACAGTAAGTCCAGACACTGAATGTTAGGTGTGTAACTAATAAAAGCCAGAAACTGCATGTTATGTGTCCAACTAATCACAGAAGTCCAGGCACTGAATGATAGGCAGTCAGTTAACAATACCAAATCCAGACACTGAATGTTATGTGTGCAATTAACAATACCAAGTCAAGGTACTGAATGTTAGGTATTCATCTAAGAACAGCAAGTACAGACATTGTATGTTAGGTACTCAACTAACAACAGCAAGTCCAGACATTGTATGTTAGGTACTCAACTAACAACAGCAAGTCCAGACATTGTATGTTAGGTACTCAACTAACAACAGCAGTACAGACATTGTATGTTAGGTACTCAACTAACAACAGCAAGTACAGACATTGTATGTTAGGTACTCAACTAACAACAGCAAGTACAGACATTGTATGTTAGGTACTCAACTAACAACAGCAGGTACAGACATTGTATGTTAAGTACTCAACTAACAACAGCAGGTACAGACATTGTATGTTAGGTACTCAACTAACAACAGCAGGTACAGACATTGTATGTTAGGTACTCAACTAACAACAGCAGGTACAGACATTGTATGTTAGGTACTCAACTAACAACAGCAAGTACAGGCATTGTATGTTAGGTACTCAACTAACAACAGCAAGTACAGGCATTGTATGTTAGGTACTCAACTAGACAACAGCAAGTACAGACATTGTATGTTAGGTACTCAACTAACAACAGCAGGTACAGACATTGTATGTTAGGTACTCAACTAACAACAGCAAGTAAGACATTGTATGTTAAGTACTCAACTAACAACAGCAGGTACAGA